AAAATGTGTTCGAAAACTTTGGCGTTTTCCACCTCCCGCAAAGAGTGAAAAATGAAAGTCTAAGAAGTATAATTCTTAGCTGTTGTATTCCTATTTCTTTCTAATTTTTTATCATTACTAGCAAAATTCAATTTATTTCAAATTTTTAAATATTAACCAAATTGTGCTTCCAAAATTTTGCAATTTCTTCCGGTTTTGATCTCGGATAAAGCAACATGAAATCCATGAATTGCGGAAGATTAACGGAAGCTGAACCAGTGCGTGCCATCCTGCAAAATCATCACGTTGCCCAGCAAAAGGACTGATTTCCTTTTTTTTTTTCCTCCCCCCTCCTCCCCACCCCACATATTAATAATTAGCTGTTTATGTGCTAAACAATGTAAAAATTACCACTCAACAATCCCCTGTGCTTGTGCATCACTTATTGGAAGACCAAGATCGTCGCAGTATTTCTTGATTTCCTGGACATCAACAAAACCTGCAAAAAACACTCATCATTTCTTTTTTATTTTTTTGAAAATTTGAAATGGCTGAACAGTAAAAACCCAGGCTGGAATGCATCAGGCTAGCCGATGCGAGCATGCTTCTTTTAAATCTAGGCGTGTATGAGCGAAGATTTTAAAACGAGAGGGTGACACACGAGCTAGGAATATGTCCGTAAAATTTCAGCCTCCCAGCCTTCCTGGTTGCTGAGATGAAAGTGGGTGACAAAGTTCACTTGCTTCCGAACACACATACACATATATCGATAATACGCGTTTTTGCTCGCTGTAGCAGCACTAGAACGTTGCACAGCAAAAACTAATAAAAAAATTTTGAAATAAATGAACTGAAAAAGCCGGCCAGGATCACAGTATTTTGCCCGCCATGTGATGAAGCTTTGGCTACGAATATTATAGAATTTATAAAAAAAAAACCAAACAAAAATATCAACGCGATTCGTAAGCACAATGCGTCAAAATGTTGTACTGTGACCAAAAAATAAATGACTGAAAATGCTGGCTCCTAGTTAGTAAGGCACCCCAACAGACGGATCCAGAGCGGGAGGGGACCATGGGCCTTTCGCTTTCCCCCTCTCCCCCCCCCCCCCCCCCCCCCCCCC